GAAGCGAACACGTTTTTTCGGTCGTGTCGAGTGGGTGCTGCTCTTAAGCTAGTGCCGCGTTCTACAGGACGTTCAGTGAATAAAGTTAAAATCATTCACAATTACAGTAAAACGCACGCCAATAAAAACTCACTTACACGTCGTCATTTCGAATCTGATGATCGAAAAACGCGAAGTGAAAATGTGTCTCAGCGTTGTCGTTCCGTAGCATCGGGTGGGCGTTGCGTGTATTTGAGCTCCCGCGGCATGACATCTCAATCCGGGTTGCGGGTAGTGGAAATTCCGCTTACGTAAGTTCCGGTAACATGTAATATCGTAGTCAAAATGTTAATGCACAGGTTTTTGTTCCGGGTGAAGGAAATTCCTTTTCACAGAATTCCGGGGATGGGAATATTTACTGTATACGAATGAATGAAAACAATGAATGAAGAGTTATACGTCTTTGATTCTCATGACATTCATTTATTTGACATAACGTAGCACAACACGATATGCACTTATTGCCATTCCCTCCATGCATGAATTTATTTGGTCAAATGAATTTTGAAAATATATTCCATTATTTACAGGTACCAATTAAATGCAAAAAATTAGGGATTGCTGTATTCATCTATTTCATATTTATTCATTGTTTCTGGAATTTCTTTCACAAGTTTGCTACCACCATGGATAAAATATACATTGTATTCATTCATGATATGGGCTATTTTATCAGTCACAATATTTTTATCCTCTCTAAAATATTCTGTATAGTTCATTTTTCTTCAAGCCATAATTAATTCTCAAAGTTCATATTTCTTGTGCGTTGTGACTCCTGTTGTGTTCTAATAGTATATGCCACTGTTGTCTTTTGCTTGGTCTTGTCATATTTACTAGTTTATTTTTGTATCTCTTATCATTCAATTCAGCAGCTTTTGTTCTTGAGAAAATGTTTGTATGGCAAGTTTTCCTTCTTACCTCAGCCATCTTGTTACCTCTGCGTCCCGCGTCCTAGATGCATAATTTTCCCACGGGACGCACAGTTCCAAATAACGTGCGTTTTTGGGATGCAAGGAAATTTCTCAGTCAAAAAAAAAAAAAAAACTATGGCAGGCCTGAGGATTTCACTGTAACGATCGTTACCAGTAGCGCGTCGTTTCTGTGGCGTCATTTTGATGGTCCCAAAAAAATCGTTTAACCATAAAAGTCACCGCACACGAGTTGACTGTACGCGATCAAATCTCTCCTGAATGATAACGCGATTTCACTGTGCCTGTATGGGTGTTTGTGGTGTGGTGTGGTGTGTGAGTGTGTTTCTTCTAATTTACTTTCGTTTTGTTTTGTTTTCAGTGTTGGGCGGCGAACAGATAACGTTATGTGCGCATGCGGGTTGCTATTTTAGTCCGCAAACTGAGGAATCGCGCGGATGAAAGTTTGAGGTGGTGAAAAAAAACACACAAAGGTCTACTAATTACGACATTTAAGAAATGGGAATGCCAGTCTGATTTTTCGTATGAATCGTCCGAAGGGCGTATCACTAAACTCACCTGGGATGTATGCACAGAACACGAGAGCGAGATACGAGTCAAGTTGGTCATTAGATCTATAGGATAATCGCGATGAAAGATATGATGAAACAGTATTGGTTATTCTATAATTTACTGGTTGTAGCATGGTAACTTTAGGAATAAAACATTCGTCACAAGGTGTAGTAATGCTCCTGTTGGAAGAATTAATGATGACGTGTGTTAGATTCTTTCATTAAATTGATAGTAGATTACACATGAATCGTCTTGGGAAGAGGATGTCAAGCCACATCAATACTTACCTGTATTATTGATTACCAGTAAATTAATCTTTGCAGTGTGGGATTGGAAAAAATACTCTGATTTTGTGATATGTTATATTCATGATGCCTTATGAGTACAACATATTTTGATTCATTTATTTTTTTGAATAAACCTGTAGTACACAGCTGCTGATTTATTGTTCATTGTTAATGCATAGTTTTCAAACATTTACCGTTGAAACATTATATTTTTGAGTTTCAGAATTCTTGATTATGAATATCAGTCAAAATAGAAAAATGATGAACGTTTACGGAACCCAAAATTAGTTACCGTGGTTTCCCATTGGGTAAACCGACAACCAAAAAAACGTTTACCGTGAATTTCCGAAATCCTCAGGCCTGCTACTGAATTATTAAAATTTTTGCAGCATTTGTTTATAATTGTATGGATATGTTGTTGTTTGTGTTATTATCACATGCAATTGAATAAGGAGACCATTTCAGAATTCGAAATTTGGGACTCTCTAAATGCATAATGGGACTCATACTTTTCTGATCAGCGAGCCCTACTCGCTGGGGGTAAATGTAAAATTATCACTGTTACCTGCATTCTCGATGCCCAGTGTCCTCCTTGGCTTATTTAAGCCTTGATACTTCCGGGTCATTCTTCTCGATGGACACCGTTTGTCATTCAGTGAAGTGAAAAATGATTAATTTTTTTAATCATTTTTCACTTCACTGCTTGCTTGGTGAGATTTGGATCTTCATTTGAGTATGTAAATCTCAGCCCAGTTTTGATTTTCCTTAATCCATCTTTAAGGCAGCAAGAGAACGTTGTGTTCCAGGTCTCAATGTATTTATTCATGTAAAATGGTGGTTGTTGATACCAAGCCTTATTCAGGTCGTCTGAAATCAACGTGTGAGGTCGCTGCCACATTCCACTGATACCTGACCGCTGTTGTTGCCTTTTTCTGACAAAAATCAGCGGCCAGACAGTGCACCAGCCAGTACGGGATGTCCACACCACGGAGGGTGCAGCAGTGACGTGGACTCCAGCTGTGGTTCATGGATGAGCAACGTCTAGGCATGGCGCTGACCTCACACTGCGCGTCGGGCACCAACAGCCTGGGGGGAGCACCCAAAAAAAAAAAAAAAAAATCAAGCTCGTAAAAAATTATAATCATTGGAATTAGAATAACAACAGTATATCGTATGTATAAGAAAGGCTTGCAAAGTATGTTGATAAATATATGTCATAAAAAATAAAAAATAAACTCCGGGACTTTCGTCAGTCTACCTTTAGTGCCCTGCCACCCCTCGCTCTTTGTTCCCTATTAGTTTGTTCCATTGTGCTTCAATCGCAAATTTGACAGTTTATTTTTGGATATCTGGAAATGTCGTCAAGAAAGCATCATGAGTCAGGGGCGGAAAAGACAAAAAGAAAAAATAAACAGCAAGATGACGCTCGCACGTTACTTCCAGGCAAGTCAATGTTGGAAATAATTGTTATTTTGTGAGAGCCATCTTTGCTGGGCACGTTTCAGAAGGTGTGGGAGGAATTTCAGTCATGAATGAGCTACTGGTGACGACATCGGAGTCGACGTGTTACAAGTGAGCGATGAGAAACGGGCGAACTCTAGGTGCGTTAGCAAGAGAGTTAACAAGTTAGGCTCATTTCCAAACTAATTTCTAGCTTTCATGTAACCTTAACACCTCACCTCTCCTTTCTCATGAGCACCTTGAGACAGTAATTCATGCCTTCGTCA